TTTCCGAAGGCTTTACAGAAAAGCACAAGCAATACAATTTGTTCCTTTTTAAGGGAAATGTTGATTTATGCTTGGACCAAGTTGAGACTTATTTCTCAAATATTTCTGAGTTGCTTAATGTCTCTGCTTCCACTGCCAAGTCCTGACTGGGCTAGGCCTGTCTGTAAGGCCACACTTTCCATCTGTTCTTTCAGCTATGCTCTGGACTCCAAGCTGGATTCTAAGTTCCCTTTAAGACAACGAACACCGCCTTAGAGTCACAACCTGAAATCCATGTTTATCTCTGTCCATTTTAAGATTAATTTTGAACCTGTATTCACTGGCAAATTTAATTAAAGAAATGCACAGTGATGGGCGGTATATCTCCACAAGCAGCTCCATTTCTAACAGAATATCTAATATGAGCAGAATTTTATGTCCCCCCTTTAAAAATTCATATAATGATTTTTCAATCCCATATGCCTCAGAGTGTGACTTTTCCATATTTGAACATGGCATTGAAATTTCAGTAAGATTCTGGATGTAAAAATCTTGTGTCTTTATGAGTCGCTAGATAAGTGTACAAGGTAAATGTTCATGGGATAACAGAGGGATAAGAAGTCACATTCAAGTCAAGAGAATGGGCTCAGAAGAAACCACCCTGAGACACTTGGATCTTGGATATTCAGCCTTCAGAACTGTGGGAGAAGTTTTGTTTTTTAAGCCACCTGCACTCTTACATTTTGTCATAGGACAGGCCTAGTAATCTAACATACATGTATATATAGTAGATAAGAAAATTAATAAAAAGAAAATAAATATATTCAAAAATAAATTTTTAGCACAGAAAATATTGCAGTTATATTAAAATACCAATTTTTCCATGAAACTGGATTCTTAATAGAAAATAAATGATGAAAAAATAGATTTTCCAAACAAGGAGGGGGAGGAAAGGAAGGGATGAAGGTTCATGCAAAAAGATACAACTAAAATTAAGAGTCATTTGAGGGTTATATGAAAATCTAATACAAAAGAAGCTTCCTGAATTATATACATATCTTATCAAAGGAACAATTAACCTAGAAAAATATGTGCCAAACTCTGGTGCACCAAATTTTATATAAAATATACTACTGATTTCAAGAGATTAACCCAAATTTAGTTAGTCTAATTCAAATTCCACTTTCTCCTATAAGCAGATCATCTTGACAAAACAACAAACTAGAAAGAATCAGAATTAAATGACATCATAGATGAACTGGATCTAATATATATCTATAGAATACTCCATCCAGTGACAAAAAACCATGCATTTTATGCAGCAGCCTGTGGAAGTTTGTCTAAGTTAAACCATAACCTAGGATGTATATCTAAACAAATACAGAAAAGTGGAAATAACTCCATGTATTTTATATGATCACTGAGCAAGAAAGATTCATCAACTAAATCACATCTTCAAGGAGCAATGGATTTATCTCTCACATCAGATGTGAGTGATAGGCAAGCAAAATTCACCATGCTCATATTTTCCTCAGAAAGAATCGAGAAGAAAACTATTAGCTTGACACAAATAATTCCCACTTTCTAAATATTTGAGAAAAGACTTGTTTATCTGTTTTACCAGCTCCATTTACCAGGAGAATAAGCAGAATCCAAGTGTGCGTTGAAATTAGAAAAACTGACTAATCAATCCATCTCCAGTGTTCAGAACCTTTCTTCTCTCTGCTCTAAAAAAAGTGAAGACTTGGCCACCCTTCATGCTCTGCCAATAACAGGCACTACCATTGACTGAACTCTACCTTGTGCCAAATTCTGTATTCAGCAAGTTCTGACTTGCCAAAATCAGACTTTGGTTAACAGTAAGTAACCACGAAGAAGTGACATCACTTTTAGTCAACTTCCCATATTTCTTTTAATCTTATTATAATTATGTATAGATATCTCTTGCCTATTTTTTCATTTAAATACAGAAATATTGGTGAAAACTATACTTAGTAGTTCAAGATTTCAGGGACTGAAAAATGCTTTATTGTGATTTATAGTTACTAACATTCACTTTTTAAAAATCCAAACTATAATATTTCCTTTATAAAGAAGGAAGGTTGAGTGGGGGGTAGAATAGGTGGAAAAGGGAATCATAGATTAGAAGACAGATCAGGCACCAGTGTGACCTCTAGTGATCTAAAGGGATGACACCAACTGGCAAGCTAAGCATTAGTGGAGAGACCACCTTGAATGCCCATTCCTGATAATGAACTTGATGTTCATAACCATCCTGGAGCCTTCATCCAGTGACTGATGGAAGCAGAGGCAAACACCCACATTTAAACACTGAACTGAACCCATGGAACCCAGTGACAGAGAGAGAGAAGCGATAACAAATTGGCAAAGAATGGGCTGGCAAAAACAGCACAGACAGCTGATCTGAACAGGGGAGAGCTCTTGGACCCCAGACCGACAGCTGGGAGGCCAGCATGGGACTGATCCAGACCCCCTGAGTGTGAAAGTCAGTAAGGAGGCCTGGACAAGCTATGGGGCCCTGGGCAGTGGATCAGTGTTTATCCCTGGCATACAAACAGACATCGTGTGTCCATAACACAAAGAGGGATGCTCTCTCATCCTGGACTCTTAGGGGTGTACCTGGACCCTGCCCTGAGTGAAATGACAGACTCTAGGTATCCCCTATGTGAAAGGAAATGGCGATAGGTTGGGAGGCTGAGGAGGGAGGATGGTGGAGGGGTGTGGGAGGAAGGGAGGAAGAGGGAACTGGGATTGACATATAAAACAAGCTATTTAAAATTAAAATAATGAAAAAGTAAAATCTTTGAAGTATCCTATTGTTAAAATTTGCATTTAACTTTTGGTAAGGACTTAGTGCATAAGTATTAAATTTACATTTTTTCCACTCCTTCCTCTTAACTTTAGCTTCTCCCGTGTCCTTTCCTTATTCCCTCTAAAATTTATCACCTATTCTTTTTTTATTATTCACACAAACACACACACACACACACACACACACACACACACACACACACACTAGACATGTAGTAATGAACTAACCAGACCCAGCAGAATAATTGAAGGTGTTTTATTGGTAGAAGAACTTAAATAGAAAATGACAAGTGACTGTCACAACATTCCCTCTTTAAGGATGCAGCCCTGCTTCCTAGATGCTCTCCACAAACTCAGGGGCTTGTCCAGTCCGGATTCTTTCCCTTTAGCCAGTCACATCAGCACCTGTAACCACGCCTACAAGGCATGGTCAATGCTACAACATATACATATATAACCTTCTAAATCCATTTTAGTGTTGATTTTATGTGTATGAATTTAGGGTTGACTTCTTGGTGTTAGAGAAAGCCTTGTTCCTGGAGAAGACTGAATTCCCCCTCTTTCAGCAGCTATTAGTTGCCTATAGATCTTCATCTATGGTTGGAGCCTTGTGAGATTGTTCCCGAGATGGCAACTAGTATTATCATTCTGCAGATCTTATTTACGCAACCACATTTTTTGAGAATTCATGGGTACAGTTTCCCTGTCATATAAAGAACACACCATATCACAGCAGATGTCTTTGTTTTCTGTCCCTTATTGTCTTTCAGTTTTGTTTTCTGAGGTGTTCCCTGAGACTTCGGTGTAGGGTTTTTGTTGTTGATGTAGCAATGGGGGCTGGGTTCCTCATAGACTCTTGTTCTTGTATTTTGACCATTTAAGAATTTTTGAATTGCCCTTCTCTGCTCAAAAAAGAAGCTTCTTTGATGAGGGGTAAGAGGTACACTTATCTGTAAGTAAGAGGCTACCTCTGGCTTTTTAATGAGACTGAAAATATCTTGTGTACTATAGGTTGTACAGTAATGGTACTCAAGAGCATTTCCAAAGCAGAGCATGGAGTGGTTGATATGTGAGTGTATGTGTATGTTTGCATGTATATGTATGCATATATGTTTGTGTGTGAGTGTGTATATACAAGCATGTGTGTGTATGTTTTATGCATGTACACGTTTGTTGGTATATGCATGCATCTGTATATACATGCACACATGAGTGCATATGCATGTGTGTATACATTCACGTGCATATGCACGAATATGTGTGTGTGTATCTGTGTGTATGCATGTGTTTCACAAGACAGACGCTATCTCATTAAGAAGTTGACTGTTTCACACCACACTTTATGCTGTTATGAAGAAACAGTTTTTTTTTTTTTTTTGAGTAACAATCTCTCTTGTCCCAATTTTCTCATTGAGTAGATTTCCAGACCTGTATTCATACTTTAGCAAATTCAGGTAAAAGGAAAAACAAGACAGAAATCAGAGTATGACATTCAGAGTCCTTCCCACCATCACTTCCTTGGGTTTCCAGGACCAGTCAGCCAGCACTGCTCCCCTTAGTCAGAGTCTTTCTAATTCCCTTTATCAACCTTTCTCTGGCAGTCATCCAGGCCTTGTTATATTGCCAACCTCCTCGGCTAGTGTTCTGGAGAACTATGAAGGCTCACTTTGCCTCTGTCAGTGTGGGCTGACCTGTGACTGAGGACAAGGGATGGAAGGTGACACAAATCTTAATTCCTTCAGAAAGGAGGAATGTGGAGAACAAACCAGGCACAGTGTCTGCTCTGGTTCAAAACCCTACACACACATAGCAGATCTGTCTCTGAACTGTTAAATAATTCCAACATCCACAAAGATTAACTACATCTGATCCTCTTGGGAGGAATACATTTTTAACATCTTCTCAATGTGACAGGACATTGCGGGTGGAAGAATTTTTCGTAAAGGAAAAACAACATCAAAAGGCGGATCACCAGCTTTAGTGGATCAGTTCATCCCTACTCTGAAAAACTTGGGCCCAGAAATGTCATCTTTCTCAGTGGAGAAGCTGGGGGGTGGCATCTAAAGACAGAGAACTTTGGCAAAGCTGAGTATGTCCTAAGAAACTGGAACTGTCTTTCTCACAAGAGAGGCAAAGCCAAGAACTAAGCCTGCTGGGGAACAGCCAGGAGAGAACATCCAGACCTGGAAGACAAGCTGAGGGGTGGATGGAACAGAGTGGGGAGGAGTCTGGTTCTGGGTGGGAAATTGGGGAACAAGAAAGAGGGCCAGAGTGGATTCTGCAACCAGAAGGAAGCTTGGAAATGCCCCCCAAGAGTGGAGTCAGTGAGAGGTATGATATCTGAAGAGAAGAATTGGGAGGTAGGGGAAAGGTTTAACTGACCACAGTATCAAGAAGGAAGTTGAAAGATGAAATCATGTTTAATGAGCTGGTGATAAACAGGCAAGGTTGAGAAGTTCAGAGCAGGACCCAGGAAGGGTGGCAGGAAGAGGAGAGAGCCAAGATGCCTGTTTGCTTTGAATTTCAGAGTCACTCTGTACAAAGCCCCATGAAGTGGAAATTATCCTCCCATGGTCTCTGTAAGTGCAGGAGAAGGAAGATGGGTATGTGACTTCATCTTTCAACTCATATGCCATAATGGAACAATTATTGGAGGAGGGGGCTTCAGTTAAGTGAGAGCATCGCACAGTACTTACCCCAGCCAGTTAAAACAGTAAAATTGAAAATATAGGTAAACACCACTTGCTACAAAGTTATCCAGAAAACGGTGTCTTTGTTTTTGGAGAAGAACATTCTGCTTTGAGGGCTTAGTTGTTGAAAGTATATTTGAAATATATTGATAGTGGAAATATGTGGTTACTAAACAGGAATATGAATTACAAGTTGTGAAACTGGACAAAACACTTGAAAAGGTTAAGAGGATTAAAATAACTTCATGATTAATAAATGACATATGAATAGTAGGGGACTGGCCAATAAAAGGACTCTTCATGAGCTGGATCCTCAGAAAGGCCCCCTAAGTCTTCAATCCCTCTTACATTTCTCTGCCCTTGGAGAGTGAACCATGACATATTTTACATTTTTGGTCTTTCTGTTCCCAGTTGCCATTTCAGCATTTGGTAAAATTCCCATGAAATATTTCCTAGCTTATGTCACTAGTTTTCTGTTTTAGTTATGATGCTATTTGAGAATCATTAATAATAGCAGAAATGCAGTTTAAATGACTTAAAATTTGGAGTTTACATTTTAAGTTGGCAAAATAGTGACTGTTTTCATTGACACTGCAGTCCTGTGACATTGGGGTATGTTTCTGCTACTCTTTAGCAGTACTTTTGAGTACTATATAGCTACAGTATCTTCAATCATTGCCAGCGCATTAAAAAAAAGATGAAAGCCACATATGCACTGTTCTATAATTCAAGAAGTAAGGCTTCTTAGAAATTACTCATAAGCTCCGGCTTAAACCAGATCAGAGTCTTGGCTTGCCATACCACCACTGCAAAGAGAAGAAGGCTCAAGGGGTAAGAATGATGGATGTGTTTATAGTGTCAATAGCTAATTCTCACATCATGCTTTATGTCTGTATATCCTGTCTCCCTAGTCCACTCTGATCTTTTAGTTATCTTTCAGTATAAATACCCAATCACACTGCTGTGTTAACTTTGCACACCAGCCATTCAGTATCATTAGCGACTCTTACCTGACTTTCCAGAGTCAGTAGACAACATCAAGTATTAGATGTCCTATTATGTCTGCTTTGATTCCCTCTTCGTTTTGGTCAATGTGGACATGGAATTTTGTTCCAAATATTTAGTTTAAAAATGCAGTATCTTTTTTTTTTGGTTTTTCCAGACAGGGTTTTTCTGTGGCTTTGGAGGCTGTCCTGAAACTAGCTCTTGTAGACCAGGGTGGTCTCAAACTCACAGAGATCCTCCTTCCTCTACCTCCTGAATGCTGGGATTAAAGGCATGTGCCACCACCATTTGGCAAAAGTGCAGTATCTTAACTGGGCTATGGTGATGCATGCCTTTAATCTCAACACTCAGGAGGCTAAGGCAGGTGGATCTCCATGAGTTCAAGTTTAGCCTGGTCTACAGAGTGAGTTCCAGGACATTCAGGCTATACAGAGAAATTCTGTGTCAAAAACAAATTGTTAAACAAAAACAACATCAAAAATTGTGTTATCTTTAGTATTTTCTGTTCTTTTCAACTAGCATATCCTTTTCACCAACATTGTATGTAGGCTTCAATGGACGCTGTAACGATACGCAACACACAATTACTGAAAGTAAAGCTAAGTATTTAATGTAGAAATTACTCACAAGATACCAAACCCAGAAGAGCCAAGCAGTTTTCAGCTGCCAAACCGGAAGCCGAACTCCAGGAAAAGAGACCGAGACTTCCTGTGTGCTGCCTTTTATGCCTTCCCCCGTAACGCCCCCTAGCCACTAGTGACGTAGTTCCGCCTACGTACGTATACGTCTTTACGTCCAGCCATATACGTCTTTTAGTCCTGCCTAAAGTGGGTGTGGTTAGCGGTGTGGTAAACCGCCCTTTTATTACCTCATCTGTATGCGCCTCTAATAAGTCACATGTTTAATGGCGGCATCAGACTTCCTCCTACAATTACCCTTTTAGTCTAAAAAGGACAACTAACTTATGTCCATGAACAAAATGTATCAAACATCTATTCTATCTACCTAAACTTACCAGAAAGAAACACCCAAATATGAACACCTCCTTCCAATCCCAACTCTAAAATAATTGAAAACTAACACTAACAGGTGTAAACAATCTCATAATATCAATAGTAGGGAGAGGGGGCATGGAATTCTCAGAACTACTTCCTGCTGAGATGGGACAATGATAATCTCATGGGGACCTGTGAGAAGAAAAATGTTAGTATAACAAAATCTCAGTAGATCAGACAGTCTCTGTATGGCAGGAGATGCTTGATTGAAGTTCCTGACTGGGGTTCTAGTGTTGATTGAAGCTCTCATCTGAACCTCTGGCCAGATTGTAGAAGATGTGCTGTTTCAGTTTCTTGGTCCGGAGTTGTGTAGAGTGATGTAGTTTCAAGCCAGTTTCAGGATAGTGCTTGTCAGGTGGAGTCAATGATGTGGGGCAGTTCAGATGCCTCCAGTCGAATCAGGTGAAGTCAAGGAAGTGGATCCTCATTCTCTTTCGTAAGCAGTTGAAGATTGCTGTCAGGAAATCCCTTGTTCTCTGGAAAACTCAAACATTAATGTTAACAAAGAAATATTTTAACTTTCATATGTATGCATACAGAAGAGATGACAATAGGGAAGATGGAAAACCTGGAGGAAATTAGACTGTTCAGAAAAAGAAATCCACAGATAACAGTCCCTCATTTTATTTCTTCTGTCTTATATCAATGGCTCTTTGATATAATACAGAAATTCTGAATCGTATTTAAATAATATGCTTGAGTTTAGGGTAGGAGAGCCAATCCAACTCCAAAGCCAGCTTCAGTTAAATGAATGCGGACTGAGGTATGTGAAGAAATAAAGATAAAAGGGTACTATGAAAAAACAATATAGAGAGATTTAGACTTTGATACCACACAATGAGTTACTGTTTGTTTGATGGTCCTCAGGGTAGCTATTGTGCTTATACTGATCTTTTATGACGTAATGCATAATTGAATACAGATTATAGATAGTTACTTATAATATAATTTATAGTTAGGTGAGTTAGGTTTTCTAGATATATAGAGATGTATTTGAGATAGTCTTCAAACCTTTCAAAGACCTTCAGAAAATGGCATTTAAAATGGTTTAGTGTTTTTCTTGACAATGAGAAATGTCTGCTCCTGGCAGCACTAATTACGTCTGAGAGGAAGATGGGCATCGAAGAAACTTGTTATGGAGTTTGCTTTCAACATGGCAAGATTAGCCATTTGGGCAAGAACTGCTCTTGCCTGTACTGCTTGACTGTTGTTGTATAAACTGGACAAGCAGAACCCACAGGAAAGTGACTGCTGAACTCAGTCTTACAGGGTTCCTGCTTCATGAAAGAGTCTACGAGACTTTCTGCAGGACAAAGAAAAATGACTGACAGACTGCCAGCGCAGATGGACAGTTTGAAATTTCCTGCTTTGCTGAGAAGTGTTCCAGACACATTGTGGCCTATGGGCTGAAGATGGATGCCCCAATGTTACAGTGGAACTTCGGGTGACTGTCCAGGCAGTAAGATGTCTTTATCAATCCTCGTGTTTATATATTATCCATCTGTGGTCTTTGATGGAGTTGAAGACAGATAGTTATATTTATAGTTTTCCTTAGTTATGATAAAAGATAAGCTACATATAGGACTTTGGACTCACAAGGATGGGATGGATGATATTTTCTTTAAATCTTGCTAAAATATTGTAACTATGTTCTTACTTGATAACTGTTCTGTCATATACAATTTGACTATGTTAAAATTAAGACCTTTCTTTTGTTTAAACAGAAAAGTGGAGATGTTGGGGAATCCTGTTATTTGCCTGTTATTTGTCAATAAAGTACTGTTGAGCCTATAGGAATCTAGATAGGTGGGGCTAGGAGTCCAGGAGGATTCTGGGAAGGAGAAACACAGGAGAGTTCGAGATGTAACGCCATTGGGGTAGGAAGCCCGGAAACCTCTCCGGTAAGAGAAATACTTAGATTCACAATTATGGGGTAATTACTTAAGTCAGAGCTAGCCAGTAAGAAACAAGCAAGGCCAACAGCTTCATAATTAATACAGCATCTTGTGTGATTATTTGGGGACTAAAATGTGGCAGAGCCCAGGCAGCTGGCGGGGGATATACCAAAGTGGCTAGCAAAGAAAAAGCTTCTCTTTTACAATTGTATACCCAAATATGTAATGAATAATCTTCCCACCAACCTGGTCCCAGAGCTGCATCAACCCCAAATAACACACAGAGACTCTATTAGTTACAATGCTGTTGACTGATGTCCAGGGCTTCTCATTGCCTAGTTCCATCTTAAATAATAACCCATGAATATACATATTTCTATAAGGTCTTATCTTACTGAGGACACCAGCCTCATGCATCCTCTCTTCCCAGGATCACATGGTGACTCTCTCTTTTGATTACATTTCCCAGAATCCTCCTCGATTCCTAATCCCACCTATCTTGCTTCCCTACTGGCCAACAGTCCTTTATTTATCAATCAATAAGACAAACATATACACAGAAGGACTTCCCCCATCACAAATATGCCCATTTAACTTTTAAAACACATTTATTTCTATGAACTTGACTGTGCTTTCTCCCTTTAATTCTTTATTTTGGAGTGGATACTCTGATGTCTCCCTCAGAT